ATTTGATTTCGTTCTTCTTTTATAGGTTTTTGAGAAAAGCAATCGAGCTTTGTTAACTAGGAAGGAGCTGTTTAAGAGCACGTTGAGGAAATGTGCTCATGCCTGGAAGAGGATTATCGAGCTTCGACTCACTGGTATGATTTGTTATTATGGTTTCAAGGTTTTGTTCTGAGTTTCTTTACTGTTAATTTCTCATGTGTTCTTTCATTTTTTGTTGTTGTTGGTTTGGTACAGAGGAAGAAGCAGGTAGAATGAGGTTCTTTGTGGATCAGCCTGCCTTTGTGGATCTACACTGGGTACTTTACTGTGCCTCATTTATTCCACTGATGATAATTTCTTTCGAATGTTTCTCGAGACAGCGTTTTGATTCGTGTTTTGTGTTTGTCTTCTTTAGGGAATGTTTGTGCCTGCTATTAAGGGGCAGGGCACTGAGGAGCAGCAGCAGAAGTGGTTGTCTCTGGCGAATAAGATGCAGATTATTGGGTGTTATGCACAAACTGAGCTTGGTCATGGCTCAAATGTTCAAGGTCTTGAGACAACAGCTACTTTTGATCCCGAGACGGATGAGTTTGTCATTCACAGTCCAACTCAGACATCATCCAAAGTGAGTAAACCAATAAACCTTTGGTTGAGTATGCACAATCTCTTAGTTGTGTAAGATTTTTTATCTGTCTTGATTGTTGAATAGTGGTGGCCTGGTGGCTTGGGAAAAGTTTCTACCCATGCTATTGTTTACGCCCGTCTAATAACTGGCGGTAAAGACTATGGTGTCCATGGTAAGTACTGGGAAAAATTTCTGGGATTTCTTTGTTCGATCTTTTTCGTGCTCCGGTATTGATTGCTTAAACTTCCTCTTCCAGGATTCATCGTGCAACTGCGTAGCTTAGAGGATCATTCCCCTCTTCCGAATATAACTGTTGGTGATATTGGGACAAAGTTCGGAAATGGGGCGTACAATTCAATGGACAATGGTTTTCTTATGTTTGATCATGTTCGCATTCCGAGAGATCAAATGCTCATGAGGTTCTCTCTCTTAGCCTTTTTGGTCTGATATGAATAAGCATTCACGATGTACTGATAGTCCTAGAGGAAATGGCTCGTGCCTATATACAAACTTATGGTTCTGCATTTTCCTCCTCTTCCGAAATGTTTCAGGCTGTCAAAAGTTACAAGGGAAGGAAAATATGTGCCATCGGATGTTCCAAAGCAGCTGGTTTATGGTACTATGGTGTATGTGAGGCAAACAATTGTGGCAGATGCTTCCAATGCACTGTCTCGAGCAGTTTGCATAGCTACAAGGTACAGTGCAGTGCGGAGGCAGTTTGGCGCACATAATGGTGGCATTGAGACACAGGTATTCATTTAAAACCCGTTTCATATTCAAGGATACCGATGGTTGTGATCATAAGAAATTGAAAGTATTTTTAATTCGAAGAACGTTGCTAGTTTGATTTAGGCAAATTTGACTGTTAGTACTGTTTTTCTTCAGTTTGGTTGTGTGGAGTTTTTTTTTACTCATGAACCTTTGGTGACTATTTTGATGGCTAGAAGAGGGAATGTAATACATTTCTGCATGTTGTAATCACAGGTGATTGATTATAAAACTCAGCAAAACAGGCTATTTCCTCTGCTGGCATCTGCATATGCGTTTCGGTTTGTTGGGGAGTGGCTGAAATGGCTGTACACGGATGTAACTGGAAGACTGCAGGCCAGTGATTTCACAACATTGCCTGAGGCTCATGCATGCACTGCAGGATTGAAGTCTCTCACTACTACAGCCACTGCGGTATGCTCTAGAGTTGATCCTTAACGGTCACTCTGGTCGGTTTTGTTTCTCTATGGGGACGTTCGTTCATATATTGGAAAATGTATTCCCTCCTTGACGTTGTCTTGGAGGTGTATTCAGACTTGAAAATCAGCTTAATCTCACTGTTGGGTGCAGGATGGTATTGAAGAATGTCGTAAGTTATGTGGTGGACATGGCTACTTGTGGTGCAGTGGGCTTCCTGAGCTGTTTGCTGTTTATGTTCCTGCGTGCACATACGAAGGAGACAATGTTGTGCTGCAATTACAGGTAGTTATTAAGTTTATGTATCAACTGCGAGCTCTTACTAGAATAAATATGATAGTTTGAATAGATTTATTAGCACGTGGCTCTTCAGCTTATGGCGACGAGTTGGATTTTTTTTTCATGTTTTTTGTTTCTCTTGTTTCACATTCTTTTGGCTTTTGTCATCTGAAATTTTTTTTTCTGGCTGATATGTGAAACGCTTTTGAAACTTTTGATTCATTATATTTTCCAAACTATGACCCCTTGCCATTTGCGGTCATTTACATTATTGTTGAAAATTGTGTTTATAGGTTGCTAGATTCCTCATGAAGACAGTTGCCCAGCTGGGTTCTGGAAAGGCTCCTGTTGGCACAACGGCATATATGGCTCGGGCAGAACATCTTTTGCAATGTCGTTCTGGTGTTCAAAAGGGTGAGTTTCCAAGTTTATATGTTTTGTCCTTCTTCCTACTACAGTAAACTAATGATTTTTCCTCAATGTGATTCCCGAGTTAATGATGAAGTTGATTTTATTCGTTGGGCATGTAGCTGAGGATTGGTTAAACCCTGGTGCTGTCCTGGAAGCTTTTGAAGCAAGAGCTCTGAGAATGGCTGTTGCTTGTGCCAAAAATCTCAGCAAGTTTGAGAATCAAGAACAAGGTAATCTCTTCTTACTCCAAAATTGTGGGCAAATCCCGCAAATTGGTCGCCACATCAGATCTTAAGCCAAAGAACCAAATTCTACAAAGTTTTTCTCACATTTCCTCTTTGTCTGCAGGATTCTCAGAGCTCTTGGCTGATTTGGTTGAGTCTGCAATTGCTCATTGCCAACTGATTGTTGTTTCCAAGTAAGCTTCTTCGTCTTCACGGTTCACACTTATCGAATAAGTTAGTGATTCTCTCGAGTCAGATCCTGAGCTTCGCCAACTTTGTCTTGGTTATAGGTTCATAGCAAAACTAGAGCAAGATATAGGAGGGAAAGGAGTGAAGGAACAGCTGAAAAATCTGTGTTACATTTACGCTCTCCATCTCCTTCACAAACATCTCGGGGATTTCCTATCCACTAACTCCATCACTCCCAAACAAGCCTCTCTCGCCAACGACCAGCTCCGTGCCTTGTACACTCAGGTTCTTCCTCTTCTTCTCTCTCTCTGGATTTGGTTCCTTTAAAAAGCTGAGTTTTAACATTTTGTGTGTTTTAGGTCCGTCCTAATGCGGTTGCGCTAGTGGACGCCTTCAATTACACAGACCATTACTTGAGCTCGGTGCTGGGGCGTTACGACGGTAATGTGTACCCGAAGCTGTTTGAGGAAGCGTGGAAGGATCCATTGAACGACTCAGTGGTTCCAGATGGGTACCAGGAATACATCCGACCTTTGCTTAAGCAGCAACTTCGTAACGCGAGGCTCTGAAGAGTCTGCTCGAGATATGGTTTAACCCGAACTCTGACTTGCTTCTTCTTCTTCTGGTTCCGGTTATCGCTTTGAATAAAATTCGCCAGTTCAAAAACTGGCGATACTCTTATATTTATTATATATATATGTAGCAATGTAAGAGGCTGTGTACGGTCGTCATCTGTCGAAATTAAGTATTTAAACGAAACATTAATACATGGGAAATTAGCAAATGTCACCGTCAAAAATTTAATAATTCACTGCATAACCATAGTAGTTGCTTGGTTAGAATATGAGTTGTGTAATATGTATAATGGACCGAAATACCTT